ATCAGGTCTGCCTTCTGTCAGTAATTTCTGATATAGTTCTTATCCACACTCTTGTATCCTAGCAGCTTATAATCAAGGGCCTTGTGCATGCTAGGCAAGTGCTGTTCTATGCTGTATCTCAAGCCAAATTGAACTTTTGAACATTGACGGTTTGATCAGTGCAATAGGATGTCCACTGTTACCTTAATATGCATCTGTACTTGTAGCAAACAGTGATCTTACTACATAGAAAAGCCATTTATCTTCCCCAGAATGTCTAGTGCATATCTGTTGGGCATATTTATTTTGTAGCTTTTGACATCAAGTAGAGATTTTCAATGTAGATTCTTCATTAAAATCTGGTTCTCTAAACAGGGGTTCATATTTTAGTTTCCTTCTCCAGCACAATGTGTTATACTCATGTCTCTGATGGAAAAAGGAGTTCTGTTTTTATTACTTTCCTGATGACTATCAGTTGACTAAGCACTGTTTTCTTTTATTATTGAATGTATACAAATATACATTTTATCAGTAATATTAAATAGTATTGCAGGGCTTAGGAGGTGGCTCGGTAGGTAAAGGACGGGTTGCATAAGCATGAGGACTTGAGTTGGGATCCCCAGCACCTACATTAAAGCTGGGCATGAGAGTGCATGCCTGCAACCCTGGGCTGTGGGGACAGAACAAGAAGATCCTGGGGCTTGCTATTTACTTAGTCTAGCTGAAACAGTGAGACATGCTGTGCAGCCAACCTCTGCACTTGACTTGTGCACACAGGTAAATGCAAAGCTGCATACACACATGCACGCACACAATTGCACACCTTACATAAGACATAGTATTGCAACAATTTGAAACACAGTAACTTGATTTTTCAATTCATTTTTAATGCAATTTAAGTTACATTGCTAATTGTATAAAAAGTTTCAGATCTCTTTTACTTCTGTATTTAGTTGAATGGAAATCTAAAATATAAATTAGTAACAATACATGTTAAAATTTATAGAGCGAGTAAAGAAATAGAGTATATTTTTGAAAATAACATTTTACTAACATCCTTAAGCTGAATCTGCAAAAATGCTGTATAGGTGTCTGCTGAGCAGAAGAGAGGGCTTGTTTTCTAAGGTTACCTCAGCAGCATTTCTTCTTTTCCAGGTTGAATTTCAGGCAGGCTGTGAAGGCCAGCTTCTGCCTCAGCATTACCTCAACGATCTCGACAGTGCTCTGATACCCGTGCTCCACAGTGGGACCTCCACCTCTAATGTGCCGCTGCAAATAGAGTTAACATTTTTCATCTTAGAAAACCTTTTTGACTGAAAGAATGTGTTATATGTTGCAAACTGATCTGTTAAAATGAATCCCAGCACTAAAACTGAAATGCCACAAATACTAAATGTTTGATAACTTAAATATATAATTTGACTTTTTAGGCAGGAATGATTTTTCAAAATCATTAGCACAATGTTTAAATATCTAAAAATTTAGGGAATCCACCGTTTTTATAGCTTTATGCTTATTATAAGAACTAAGAAGAAAAACTTTCTTCTGATTTAAAATTTATAGTATTTACAGTGTAACTTAATGTTAAGCCAAAGTATCTGCACTTAGTTATACCTCTTTATATCAAGAATGATTTTAATGAAGGAGATACCAGTTCTGTGTTTATGCTAGTGAGAATACTGGTTTTGAAGTCTGTTTAAAATTATTTCAGTAGCAAAGACCAGTTTCAAGATTCTAGACTTAAAATTCTTTGAATAAAGATGATAACTTATTTGTATAAATTGAATGGAGACCTACCTCCATGATTAGATAAATTCCATTTGATTAAAATTAGAATTTTGCCTTTATTTCTTCTCAAATTATTATATATATATATATATATATATATATATTTATAAATATCATTTTTCCTGATTAAGATAACTGTGGGTGCTTCAGGACTTTATGCTTCTCTATTTAAGTCTGTTGTATCCATAGCAACGTATGATTTGGAATGTGTTTTATACATCTTTGCTAATATATGAATAGATAATATTTTTGTATTGCAGTGCATTCTCGTTCTCCTTCCTTACCAAGTGCACCACTGTGTTAAACACTCTGGATGACAACAGGCCAGATGGCCCATGAAGTAGCCATTGTGTAGCAATAACAGAAGCCTGAAACAGGTTTCTGCTACTTCCACATTAATCCTTAGGAATTTCTTGATTGACACCAATGTATGAAGTATAAATTTTAACAAACTTGTTACTTTTGCATATTTTTAATTCTTTCTATGCTAGTTATTTTTTTATAATGGAATATTTAACATAAAGATAACGGTTGTGATAGAGCTTTCTTGTTTAATTCAAACAGCAGGAAGAAGGAGAAACCCTATCATTTAACTTATATAAAATGTAATCATTGTTTTGATGCCTTCTATTATGCAGAGTATATTTTTTTGTATCAAAAACACTCACTGTATATCTCAAGAAAAAGAAGCCACACTAACCATCCCTGTGTAAGAAGAATATCTATGAAGCATCGTAACTTAGAGATGCAGGCATGTGAGTCAAGAGCTAAGGTCTTAGAGACCAGAGTCGCACCCCCACCCCTGCCACCATCACACTTGGACCAGCCACAGACATATGTGAGAGAATACCCACCAACAATGTGTACTGTTACAGATGGTAAATAAATGGGAACATACCACTCACAAAATTTGTTGAAATGATGTACTATAAAGATTGTCCCATATCAAGCTCATTTTGTTTTCTTTACATGTGTTTATTTTCTGTATGTTATATACTTACTATGTAGTTTACCTGTACAATTTATGAATGTTGAACTTAACACATAGTGGAAGGCTCTTCTGTGAAGAGCCTTTGTGTTTGAAGCAACTTTACGTTTGTTTTCATAGTGTCTACAACTAGTAGAAATTGGAATTTTAGCCCGAAATGTTAGAGGAGGCACATTTTACAGCATTCTTTGGCTATGGATTTTTCTGAAGGCATTTGCCCCCTGCTTGATCAGCCTTCACATCGGCACTTAATTTGAAATGTTAGTAAGAAGTAGGATGGCTCTTTGTAGTCACTCTACAGTGATCTGTCTGTGGTCCTAGACTTTCAGTGCAGCTCAGTTTCTCTGCATTTTCAACTATGAAGTGAAATATATCTTGCTTTATGCATTTATTGAACAAGCCGTGTGTTTATGTGCTACATTAAAAAGTATTATCAGTTGGAAAATAAGATTTCTTTTTTGAAGCTAGATAGATGAAACAGATTTTTTAGCATACAGAAGCATTTTACTTGCTGCAGTGGAGAAATAACCTGAGTGGCTCCAGGGCACAGACTGGAGGATGGCTACGCCCACCTCAGGACGAGCTTGGAGCACAGTGGGTATTTGGACTGGGAGTCTGAGGCATCCAGATGCTGTAGAGAGACTGCACATGCACCTTATAACTGGATAATGAAAACCTTATTTTGACAGCTGTGGAGGTTCCTGGCAGCCGGTTTCTGTGTTTCATAAAGCATGGAACTTTCTTAATAAGAATAATTTTAATAAGATTCAAGTTTTAAAAGACTATCTTGAAATAAAACAGAAACTTCTGACTCATTGTAGGTTTTACATTTTGTTAAGTGACTTTTAAAATGCTTGACTTAAGATACATACAGTCCAGCAAAAAGAAACATGAAAACTTAGCGATCTTAATTTTTGCCTCCCTCCTGCACACATCGCCCGTTCTTCCACTACATACTCTCCCCAGGTAGGCACCTTTTTTGTATGAGCCAACCCAAGATTCAGAGGTGATAACCACAATGATTCCTCTTTCAGCACTGCAGTGGGATAACTAGTTAATGTGTAAGAGAACACTTGAATTTATTTTTCCTTCCTGACAGACATCTCCCCAGCGTCTTTCTTTCCTCCACCAACTCTGCTCCTTAAGGCCCTAGCAACTACCATCACTGCTTAGGTTCCACATAAAAGTAGAATCTCCCAGCTTGCCACAGAATCTCATCAATCCTCAACAGGAAAACCCACCAATCCCGAGCTCCCCCAAACTCAGGAATGGAAATCCGACCAATCTTCCTCCTGGAAAGAAACACACCGCCACCCCCAAAGAAACGCCTGCCTTTTTGCTCAGTTCTCTGTTGCTTCTCTCCAGAGCTGAGGCAGCCACCCTTCCTGGGCTTTTTCCCTCCCGCACGTCTTGACTGAGGTTTGTTGTGTGGTCTGACTTTGTGGTATTTCTTAGCTCCTGACTGCCAGGATACCTCCAGGAGCTGATCTGTAACACTTCAGCAGGAGCAGAGTTTTCGCTGGGGAAACTTCCCACTGTGGTCGCTGAGCTGCAGCGCATCCTGGGGAAACCTTCCCGTGTAGCAGCCAGAACAGAGCTGTAGTACTGTAGGGGAAGCCTTTCTCTTCAGACAGCAACACTTTATTCACCAGCACCAAAGCTAACAACCCTCGGATAGCAACTGAAATCTGCCCTCACTTTGCTATAAACTGCATATCTGATATTCCCACCAAGTATTTGGGAAATTCCATGACACCTGACTTTCTTAAAACAGCAAAAACTCCATGAAACCGGGCAGTAGACTTGGCGCAACTGATTTGGTGTGCTTGAACCATCACTCATTCGATTCTGTAATAAACTGTTGAGGTGATTTACGCTTTCATTTAAGAATGAAAATACAGGTAGAAAATGGAAAATATAAGCGGTAGGATTAACTAGTGTTTTCTGAGACGGAAAATCCTGGCTAGGCTGAAGGAAATACAGGGACCATGAGGCCTGGCTGAGGCTAAAAACAATTGCCAGTCAAGTCAGAGACACTTGGAACCGTTACCCTCTGAAGGGCACGGGAGGACCGCTCCCGTTTGTGCGGTCGGGCGAAGCCTTCCGGCTAGGCCGGCCGCAGACCCCGGGCTCGGGCGGCTCTGGGGGGAGGCCCCGCCCCCAGCCCAGCCGTCACGGCGCGCACGCGCACACCTTCCGTCGCGGTCACCTGCCTTCCGCCACCGAGACAACCCATCACCTCCCCTCGCGCGTGCCAACCCTTGGCGCCTGCGCAGACGGCGGCGTCCGCCCGTCACCATGGCAGCGTGCGCTGGGGGCCCGGGTAAGTGCGGAGGGCTCGGCGGCCGCCGCCTACTGCTCTCCCTGTTGTGGCTTTCGGGTTGTAAACGCGCGTGTCTGCTGGGTGTGAAAGGTTCAAGTACGCTGAAGGCGTCGAGGAGGCCTGGTGGCCGATTTTACAGAGGCCGGAGTGAGTATCTTCGAGTCACAGAAAGGCTGTAGAAACAATTTAGGATAACTCGGTTGTTTAAAAACAAAATGAAAACTAACCCTTAAAAACTAACCCAAAATTAACGCTTAATATAAAAAGCTCAGAATGGTCCAGGAAGGTCTATGCTCCTCTCCTTCCGTCAATACATTTTTCCCACAGGCTTCTGCTGCGCGTTCCTCGGTGGATCCTTCCGGAAATGTCTTACCTACATACCACATGGACTACGATCTCTTTAACCTTCCACTTTTTACATACACATACGCGTTCAGTATCTTTTTGCATTAACTCTTTGAGGATTTTATACAATGTGTTTTGATCATATTCATCTTTGCTCCTCCGTCATCTCCTCCCAGATCCAACCAAACCTTGCTCCAACTTCGTGTCTCTTTTTGTTTGTTCTTATATTTATCAAACCCCAAAGAGGGAATAAAGTGGGTTATCCCAAGGCCTCCCTGTGGTTTTGCACTGCAGTTTTTTTTCTTATTTTTTTATTTTTTTAATTAATTTTTAATACATAATTTTTTAAATTTGTTTTTTTTTTTTATAAATTACAGTTTATTCACTTTGTATTCCCGCTGTAGCGCCCTCCCTCATCCTCTTCCAGTCCCACCTTCCCTCCCTCATCTCCTCCCATGGCCCTCCCAAAGTCTGCTGATAGGGGAGGACCTCTTCCCCTTCCATCTGAGCCTAGCCTCTCAGGTCTTAGGTCTCCTCAGGAGTGGCTGCATTGTCTTCCTCTGTGGCCTGGTAAGGCTGCTCCCCTATCATGGGGAGGTGAGCAAAGAGCCAGCCACTGAGTTCTTATTACTAGGGAACCCACTTGGAGACTAAGCTGCCATGCGGGTTCTAGGGGTCTAGGTTATTTCCATGAATGGTCCTTGGTTGGAGTATCAGTCTCAGAAAAGACCCCTGGGCCCAGAATTTTTAATCTGTTGCTCTCCTTTTTCTTGGGTAGACTGCTGCTACCCAAGGTACCAACTACCAACTGGTAGTTCCTGTCCCCTCCAGGTCTTCCTATCTTTCTTTCATAAGATTCCCTACACTCTGCCCAAAATTTGGCTATGAGTCTCAGCATCTCCTTCAGTGGTAGGTTCCCATCCTGTTCCCTGTTTTCTCACACTTCCGATATCCATCCCATTTGCCTTTCTGGCACTGCAGATTTCTTAAGGAACTTTTTGTGAATGTTTATGGTGCATATTTGTGCGATAAAATGATCATATTCCTACCCCAAACCATAGCGGACCTGATGTCTCTTAGGTATTTCTTCCCATGATCCCCCCAAAAGAGGGAGGGATGTCAAAATCACAATGGAGGGGCTGGAGAAAGAGCTCATTTGAAAAGCTGCTTGCTTTGTAAGCATGAGAGCCGAGTTCCATCCTAAGGACATAAGTGAAAACCAGCAACAAGGCTACAGGTCACTCTGGGGAGATGGAAACGGGTGGATCCCTGGGGCCAGCTAGCCAGCCAGACTTGTCTACTTGGTGAGCTCCAGGCCAGCAAGCCTCCCTCTCTCAAAACACAAGGTGGAGGCTCCCAAAGATGGCCACTGAGGTTTTCCTCTGGCTTCCACATGCTCATGCATCCAAAGGCATACCACAATACAACATAGTGACACTGAGTCTTTGGAGGATTCTGACCCTTCCTTGGTGCACAAGTGTGGAGAATGCCCAGGTTTTTGATACAAAGGAAACAACCTAACTGTGGCTTCAGGACATCTAACTACAGAAGGGGAATTCTGACAGGAGACACAGATACCACCATGCAGCTGCCATTTTCTGGTCCCCTTGTGTCTAACTCTTTGTCCATGTGGAGTCCTTATGTCAGCAGGACTGCATTCCTCCAGGTGTGGATGGGCAGTGTTCTTGCCCTTCTGGCTCCTTGGCTCACAGAGTTCCTTCCTGCACTTCTCTAGCCAGAAATGACTAGTTGAGTTCCTCTCACTACATCACCTCAACTTCTACTGGCCTTCCTCCCTGTAGATTTGTAAGGACCTTGTTATTAAATTTCATACGTACAAATAAACATCCTCGCATCTCAAAGTCATCTGATTAGCAACCCTAAAGGCAGTTGGAATTAAAATATCTCATGCCCTCACTTATATGAAATCTAAAAAGGAAAACGTGAATTCACAAAGATGCTGAAGGCATTTGACTAGCAGCCTTAATTCCTCTTTGCTGTGTAACATGTTGACAGGTCCCATTATTCCTTCTGCTGTTAGCACCATTGCTCCCAATGCTCTCTTCATTCCTGTCTCCGAAATTCTGTTGGATGTGTATAGTTGCCTTGTTTATTTTAAGGGCTCCAGAATGCTCCATATTTTTGACAAACATTTGAAGTTTCACTCTTCTGCTATTAAAGAGAGTGTATTAAGTTTCTTGATGGAATGTATTCTCCAAATGAGCTCTATGTCCGTAGAAGTAGAATTTCTCTATCAAAGGACTGGTATAATTTGTGATGGTTTGAATGAGAATGGCCCTCACGGACTCCTGTGTCCCAGGGCTCATTTCCTTGTTGGTAGAACTATTAGGATTCAAGGCCTTATTGGAGGAGCTGTGTCACAGGATGGGCTTTGAAATTTCAAAAACCCCATGACAGGCTCAACCCCCGCTTGCCTTCAACTTTAAATAAGATGTAAGCTCTCAGCTACTGCTCCCATACCCTGCCTGCCTGTCTGCTCCCTGCTGTGAGGGCCCTGGATTCACCCTCTGAAACTGTACACAAGTCCCCAGTTAAATGCATGCTTTCATAACTTTCCTTGGTCATGAAAGAGGCATAAGTAATCAAATTTACATGTTCCCAAAGTTCCAAAGTAGACTCAACTGAGTGTTGGTGCTCAGTCAGTGTGTTGGATGTAGTTTGAGTTAGGATATTTTAATCCAACCATCAGCTTACCTGAACATGACTCTGTTGTAAGTCACTAAGTACAGAGCAGCAGTCTACCCAAGAAAAATGTATTTAGCATGCTTAAAGGTCCTGCATCATTGTGCCTTGTTACTAATTTATAAAACACCTTTATTAAAAACTTTGAGTGAAGTGTAAAGACAGCTGAAAGGTGCCATTGCAAAACACAATATGCGCTGTTTATGAATGCCTACGTTAGTTCTGGCAACCTATGTGTCAGGAAAGAATGGCCAGTTTTCTAAGTCCTTTGCTCTCTGTCTATCTCATTTTAGGCAGAGTCCTGCTACATAGTCTAGGGTGCCTTTGATCTCATAATCTACCTGTCTTGGGAAAACCGTGGGATTCAAGTGTCTAAAACCACACTCATTGTTCTTTACCATGAATGTATCCTATGATTTGATTGTTTTCTTATTTTGTATTTGTCATAACTGAGAAGTCCTGTGCCATCTGAAATGACTGACCTGAATATTTAAAAAGTATGGCCATGCATACTTTTACACATGTGAACTGGGCCCTGTGTTTGGTAGGCCACTGCTGGGGCCCATGGCTCGTCAGCCGAGTCTCCCCCTTTAAGCAGGGTGCTTGCCGAGCCACGTGATATCAGACATCATCTTTATTGGCCTTCTGTTTTCTGACTAAAGGAGAAGAGGTGTGTAGTTTGGTGTGTAAACTACATACTCACATGCTGGGCTGGAAAGGTTGTTCAGTGGTTACAGCCACTTGCAGAGGACCTGGCTTCAGTTCCCAGCACCCACTTCACAGCTCACTGCATCTGTGACTCCACTTCCAGGATCCAGTGCTGTCTTCTGGTCTCTGCAGACAATAGGCACACACATGGTGGACGTATAAACAGACAAAACACTCACATAAAATAAACAAATATTAAAAATAAAGCCATGTTTATGGGAGATACATGGACTTGGATCAAAATGAACAGAGGTAGTTCAAAATAAAAGAAGATCTATTTTCTGATTAAAGATTACTTTTCCAGTATGTATGTATTTTTAAGGATTTGTTTACTTTTCACTTTTATGTGTGTGAGTGTTTGCTTGTATTTAAGGCTGTGTGTTCCACATGCATGCTCATGGAGGTTGGAAGAGGGAGTTGATTCCCTGGAACTGGAGTTAACAAAGGTTATAAGCATTCATGGTGGTGCTGGAATCAAACCTGGGACCTCTGAAGAGCAGCCAGTGCTGTTAACCACAGAGCCAGGCTTTTCCTAATATTTTATTGGCAATGTGTGATAGCATTTTTTAGGCCTCCATCTGTTGCCAGGCAGATGTAAGTCAACAGTTGGCAGAGGGTAAACTATTACGCATGCAGCATGGGTAGGCACTGCACTGAATAATGAGATGGAGGGAAACCTGTGCCATAAGCAAATGGTGGATACATGCGTTACATGTATCTATGTATGCCAGCTGAACCTGTGAACTGCCTGGAGTTGGAGCTCTCAGCTGCCTGGAGAGTCATGGTCTGAGGGCAGGTGTGTCACGGAGGAGATGGAACCTCAGTGTTTTCATACAGCTGTGGCTTTATGCAGAGGACCTGGCTTCTCGGAGGACTCGATGTAGAATTCATGCTTTTGAACGTCTGATTCTTCCTACATGCTTTTTACACTTCTGCTCTCCAGACCACACCTTATGGCTAATTATAGCATGATGTATGTTTAGATATATTGCAGACCTGCATATCACAATACACGTTCTGTTTTATAAATCAGTTTTGCCTAACCCAGTTGTTTGATTTTTCTCCCTTAATATATCTTTTGCATCTTCATATAAAAACATTTTTGACCTTATACTCCAGTAGTGTCCTCCCCCAGTATACAGCCATGGGAGGGAACCACTGTCTTTTAAATGAATGTCTATGAACATTATTCACAACAACCACGGCATAGAAGCCACCCAAGTCTACAATGACGGACTAGCCGATGAAGAAGACGTGCTGTGTGTTATCAGTAGAATACTATTCAGCAGCCAGGTGGGCTTGGTAGCACACACCTTTGAGCCCAGCACTTGGGAGGCAAAGCAGATCTCTGTGAGTTCAAGGCCAGCCTGGTCTACAAAGAGAGTTCAGGACCGACAAGGCTATACGGAGAAACCCTGACTCAAAAAACCAAAAGAAAAGAAAAAAAGTATTCACTTTTTTGCTAGTAGCCACATGGATGAGCCTGAAAGAGAGTATTGTGCTTAGTGAAATAGGCCAGCTACAGAAAGAAAAAGTATTGCATGATCTCATTTATTTGTAGAATCTTAAAATTTTCAACTATGTAGAAATAGTAAACACAGTTGGCTGTTTACGAGAGAGATGAGGAAGTTTTGGTCAAAGGATAAAGAGCAGGTATGTAGGGTGAGTGAATCTAGAGGTCGAATGTGCACTGTGAGGACGATGGGTAATGAAAATGTCCTGTATGTGAGACTTATGCTAATGAGATCTTAGTTGTTCTTAATGCATGTGCGCGCGCGCACACACACACACACTCACACACACACACACACACACTCACACACACTCACACACACACACTCACACACACACACTCCAAAACTTAAAAGTGGTTACCTATTGGATGATGGCTGTTTGCCTCAGGATAGAAACTGTTACTTGCCATGTGTATCTCACAACATCATGTTATCTACCTTAAATATATGCCCCATCAAAAACAATATTCTTTTCATGTAAATATTGTTATCCTAGGGTCCTGGAGTGAAAATATACTGGAATATTTTCTGAGAAACAGCCAGATCACAACAGAAGATGGCGCTGAGATTGTCTGGTATCACGCAGCCAACCACAAGTCCCAGATGCATGAGGCACTGAAGAGTGAGTGTCTTCTACAAAAAAAATTATTTTCTTATTTCTATTTTTTAAATTTATTTAATTTTATTTACTTCACCTTCATTTGGGTAACATGTTTTGAAATCCAGGCTGTGAGGTGGCTGGCCTAGGAGCCGGCCTGCCAGAGTCAGTAGAGAAGCGAGGGCACAGGTCTCCCTAGAGGGAGCAGCTGCTGCACAGATGCTCGTCTGGAGCTTGGCTCTGCAGGGTGATTGCTGCAGTTAGGAATTATCAGGCTCATTTCACTGTCAGCTAAGCTGTGCCATTTACCCTGGCTACACAGTGATACAAGGAATAGTCTGACACTCAGCTGCTAAAGTGCTACTTTATTTCTCGCCGTTCATATAAAGGATGGGGCTATTTTTGGAGCCTTCAAGCCATCTTAGTGACCTGAAAACCTTGCACAAGCTAGCTTGTTTGTTATATTCACCTGCCGTGGTTCTGATGCTCCATCTTGGCCGGCCTTCCAGCTCCTGGCATGACTGAGCACCTGCTGCCCCCACACTGGTGCTTTCTTGGAAGGAATAAGTGTTTTTGCTTGCTTTGAGCACCCTGGGCAAGCACTAAACTGAGCTATGTCCCAGCATTCTTTTTACTTTTCTTTTTTCTTCCCTTTTTGCATTTTCAACTTTAAATTCGTTCTGTGTGTCTGTGCACCCGTGAGTGTGCTGGTGTCCAGAGGCCAGAATAGGGAATTAAAGTCCCTGCATTACAGGCAGTTATGATGCTTCAATTGAACTCAAGTCCTCTGGGAGGGAAGCTACAACTCTTAACAGCTGAGCCATCTCTCCAGCCCATCATTTAGTTTTTCATCAGACATCCTCTGTTGTCTAGTTCGGTCTTGACTAAATTCTGTCTTTTGCCTCAGCCTCCCAAGAAGTAGAAATAACAGCAGCATCACCAGGCCAGGCCTGGCTAACCTGCCACACAACCTTTGGCATCAGTTGAATTGCCATTTCTTAAAAATAAACATCTGTTCCTGAACCCAGATTGATCACCCCCCAAGCCCACCATGGCCTGGAATGCACCACCTTGCCTTGTACCTTCTGTGCTGCTGTTTTCAGTGAGTAGGCTCCTGAGTGCTGTTCTGGCAGGGATCTCGGCTCCAAATGAGTGCACTGTATTGACAGAGCACATGTTACCCACTCTCCAGTTAATAAACCTTTGAGCTACTTCATTTTTGGCTACTATAAAGACTGTTACTGTCTGCCCTGTAAACTGGCATACAGGAGGCCTTCATGTGGCAAAGAAGTCAGCAGACAGGATCAGACAAGGAGAAATGTTACTGAAGTACACCTAAGAAAAGCAGTGGGTGAATTCCCAGAGATAAGGTGGCATTCCTGAGAGGGAGGGGTAAAGCCCTCTTTGCAAGAGTGAAGGGGGACAGTGTCACTGAGGAGGCTTGAACCTGATGGCACAGGCTCTCATTTTCTTATTAAGGAGTACATTTTACCGTGCAAGTTGTTTTGCTCAAGGCTGATGATTTGAGGAAGCTTCTGTGGGCCATAAGGTTAAGGCTCCAGATGTCTGGGTAAGACATTATGGGTTGCTGGGAGCCAGGATGCACGTGTCCATGGCCTGGTGTGCTTTTCTGGGGAGCTGTTGTCTTTGATCCCCATATGTAAGTTTTGAGGGGTACGCTTTTAGCTTTCTTATATTGCAAGCAAAGGAATGTCTAATCTGAATGTCTAATCTAAATTTCGCTTTTTAAGGAACATTAAGAAAGTGTCAACATTTCTAAAATTATTGTACTCTTTTGTATTCCTATTGATAGTGAGGATAGGGTTCTAATTTCTTTATATTTTTGGCCAGCACCCTAGTGTGTACAAGTTGGTATATGACACTGTGGTTTAGATGTTATGTTTCCTGACAGGTTAAGTGCCCTTAATGGGCTGACAGAATGGCCCAAAGGGTAAAGCCGTTGCCACCAAGCCTGGCAACATGCGTGAGACCCCAGGGACGCACATGGTGGTGGAAGGAGAGAACCAGCTCTCACAGTGTTCACCGCCCTCCGTACATGCACTTTGGCATGCACACGACCCCATAAACAACTAAAATCTGGAATAATTTTTAAAGGAGAGCTACCCTTGAGCCTCTGGTGGCTTATCTTGGGGAAGTGACCCACACCTGTAGCTGACTCTTCCTCAGACCACTACTGGATTGTGAATCGCAAACTTCTTTTATGTGCATGCATCTCCCATAAATATGTGGGCTTTATTTTTGAGATTTATTTAATAATTTCTGCATCTGAGTGTATGTCCACCAAGTACTTGCATATTGTTTGCGGAGGCCAGATGGGCATTGGATCTCCTGGAACCCAAGTTATAAGCAGTTTTGAGCCGCCCACATGGATGCTGGGAAATGAACCCAGATTCTGCAAGATCAGCCAGGGCTGGTAACCACAGAGCCATCTCTCTAGCCCCAGCTTGTGGGTTTATTTCATACCAAATCATAAACCATTCCTCTGCTTTGTGGTGGTCTTCAGTCTGGGTTGATTGGTTTGGTTACTGTGGGCACAACACTAAGTGTTCTAAATTCTCTTCACCTAGTTGTGTGGGAGCAGCTGTCCTTCTGAGGTTTCATAAAGGGCCTTGGAGCTGTCCTGTTGGCTGTGTTGGCGCTGAAATTATATTTTATTGTACTTTGATTTGAAAGTCTGTCTTCTCCAAACTCATATTTTAAATGTAATTGCCAGTGTAATTGTATGGCAGGTGGAGTCTGTAGAGAGGTATTTGGGTCTAAGTTGGAAATATTCCTCAGTATGCTATTAAAAAGCCTAACAGTTAATTATTTCTCTTCTTTCTTCTCGTTATTATCATAGGCTGTTAAAAGAAACCAATTGTCACTTTGAGTATCCCTAGAAAGCACCCACATGATCTCCACAAATTCATCTGGTGTCCTCTCCATCTTCTGTCGTTACTACATGGGACGGTGTTGTCAGAGTTTCCTAGGGTGCAGAACAGATAGGACCACCAAGATTGCTCAGTGAATGCATACGCTTGCTACCAAGGCTCACAACTCACGCTCATGGTAGAAGGAGAAAACCAGCTCTTGCACATTGTCTTCTCCCTTCCACAAGCACTCCATGGCATGCATGTGCATGCACATAGACACAAATGCACAGAAAATAACTAAATAAATACAAAATTTAAGACAGATGTTTGTTCTCAAGTTACAGCTAACTCCCATGCTGTTTCTTCCTTAAAGGCTTCCCTAGAACCTAATGCTATATTTCAGGGTTTTATTAGGACAACATCCACTCTGTTTATCTCCTGGTAGCAGACATCCAGAGCCGAGGGTGGTGGTACGAAGTTGGAATTCCAGTGCTGGGAAGCTGGAGTAGCACAGGTGCAAGTGCCAGGTGCAAGAGGCCAGTCCAGACTACAGGTGAAAGCCTGTCCCACAAAACAAGTCACTTAAAAAGTTGCTGAGCTTCAAATTAAAGCCACTAATTTTTATGTAGCATTTCAGACACAAACAATGATGTCCATGAATCTAATTTGAATATCAAGAAGATAATACATGTGTGTATCTCTCCCATTTCTCTGTCTGTGTATCTGTGAGGGTGCGGGGGTGGATGTGTGTCTACGTGTGTATCTTTGTGTGTGCCAGTGTGTGTGTATGCAGGTGTGCATGTGTCTCTGCATGTATGTGTGTATCTTTGTGTGTGCTGGTGTTTGTGGGGTGTGGGGGTGTGCGTGTGTGTGTGTGTGTGTGTGTGCTGGTATGTATATGTGTGTGCAAGTGTGTATGTATCTCTACATGTGTGTTTGTGTGTGTCTGCTAGAGGTAGAACCAGAGCCTTGTCTATACTACTAAGCAATCAGCACCTTTGAGGGACATTCTCTGCCCAAATACACTAATTTTTGTTTCTATAAAACTCCAACAAATACCTTATAGGCTTCTCTTCCCCATCTGTGCCCGCTTTTCCAGCTAGCAGAAAGGATTCGTGGGTAGGATCGGGGCTTAGGAGCTGTGTGATGTAAGGATAACATTCGGCCTCATCCAGTGCATTCAGCAGTTATGTGGGCAGCGTGTCTTGGTTCTCCAGCGGGTACTGACACGCTGTCGAGGTCCCGGCCCTGTTTGTAGTAACAGAAGCTCTCTTCCTTGGGCAGGTGCTGCCCACATGATAGAGGCTGACGTCCTTCTTCCTGGTGACGGATCAGAGCATGGCCAGCCGGTCATGGCCCATCCTCCTGAGACGAGCAGCGACAACACTCTGGGGGAGTGGCTGGCTGAGGTCAGGAAGAGCAGCAAGGGCATCAAGTTGGATTTCAAGAGGTATGTTTACAGCATGCTTCTTGCTGCTGTACAGTTGACTTCTGGGAACAGCATTAACACATGCTTCTCTGCCTTGGACTACCTATTCTTTCTCCTATACAAACAGACACTGACATTTTAGGTCAGTACTTGCACATTCAATCTGATTTTGTTTTATACTAGTGAAGAGGCCTGAAAGTCCTTAGTAATCAAAGCATACTTTAAAATAATATTTTGCAGGAAATGATCATATGAACAAGAATGAGTGTCCTTTCCCTCCCAGTGGCTATCATATGGCATTTGGCCATGTAGAAGCTATAAAGTGTGCAGTTGCTGGGATGCAGACTGATTTCCCACCAGCCTCCAGCAGCTGCCACTCAAACCTGGAATTGGTGACGAACCCACCCTCTCTCTGAATCATACCTCAACATGGATTACCCCAGGGCTGGTAAGGCAGCTCAGCAGTTAAAAGCTTGCTGCTCTTCCACAGGACCCAGGCTTGTCTCCCAGCACCCATGTCAGGGAGCTGAGAACAACCTCAACTCCAGCTCCCGGGGACTCAGCACCCTCCTGGCTCCTTCAGACACCTACACCCATGCGGCGCGTGCGCGCGCGCGCGCGCGCGCACACACACACACACACACACACACACACACACACACGTACACGTCAAGATAAGATGGCTGTAATGAGTGCGAGTTTGAAAAGCTTGTGGGATTACTGAGATGACCCCAGCCGTTTGTGGGTGGGCACCTAGCAAACCTCATTGCCTTGTTGTGGTGAGCACAGACCTGCTGTGTGAGAATCTGGACTGACAAGGACTGTGGGCCGAAGACCAGATGGCTTTATGGACAGTGAGCTCATCTGCTTTACTGACAGTCTTAGTGCTGGCATGGCTGAGATTCCCCGAGGACATCTGCTGGGCCTCCTCGAACCCCGAGCCTCCTGGGGCCAGAGCAGCCTTCTCTGTGCACTTTAAAGGCTTTGGCTCCGTGTAGATTAGCTTGTGTGTTTGTAAATTCTTTTTTGTTTGTTTGGTTGGTTTGTTTTGAGAGATAGGGTTTCTCTGTGTAAGCCTGGCTCTCCTGGACTCACTTTGTAGACCAGGCTGGCCTTGAACTCACAGAGAGTGCTGGGATTACAGGCGTGCTCCACCACACCCAGCTCTTGTTTGTAGGTTCTAGCTGTGAATTTAGTGAAGCTTTATTTTTAAGGTTTGTTTTATTCTAAATTAGTGTGTGTGTGTGTGTATGTGTACGTGTGTACATGCATGGAAGTACCCTCAGAGGTAAGAAAAGGGCACCAGACTCCCTGGACCTGCCTGGATTACAGGTGATTGTGAGCCCCTAAACTTGCTGGGAACCAAATTTGGATGCTCTGCAGAGAGCAGTGTGCCCATGCTCTGATGGGGACTGTAGGGGTGGCTCGGCTCTGCAGTGAGAGAGGACACGTGTGTTAATGACGCTTCTGAAAGCTTTATATGTGTCTTACATACGAGTTCCACAAACACCCCAAGAAACAAGCCATCACTTTCATATGATGAGATAGAGGCTGCGGGGAGAAATAGCCTGCTGGGTTCAGAGAGCTGGATAGAGAGCTGTCAGCCTGGCTGGACATGGACAGCTCACTTTTTCTTTTTTTACTTTTTTATTATTTTTCCTGTCTGAGATGCTTGGGAAACATGGAGCCTTGTACATGCTAGGTACAGGCTGTACCACTGAGTTAAATTCCCAGCCTGAGAGTACACATTCACATTCTTTTTTTTTTTTTTTTTTTTTTTTGAGAATACTGAAAATATTTATTTAGTGGCAGGGAAGTTACAAAGTTACAAAGTAGTTTTTGACTTAGAAAGTAACAGAAAAATATTTTAAAACATTAATATACAGTGCACTTTGTGAATTAAGGCGTCAACTGGAGAGGCCTGGTAAAGATTTGTGGTGTCCTCCCACTTTGAATAGGAGATAATCTTTTTTTTTTTCTTCAACTTTTTTTTGTTTATTTTTTATTTTTTTAACTTTTATTAATTACACTTTATTCACTTTGTCTCCCCCCATAAACGGCCCTCCTCCCCTTCTAATCCCACATCCCTCCCCCTTCTTCACACATGCCCCTCCCCAAGTCCACTGATAGGGGAGGTCCCCCTCTCCTTCCTTCTGATCTTAGGAACCTACCACAGAGAGCCTCTGAAAGGCTCTGCCCTGCAGACTATCAAAGCAGACGCTGAGACTTATGGCCAACTGTTGGGCAGAGTACATGGAATCTTATGAAAGAAGTGGGAAATAGTAAGATCTGGAGAGGACAAGAACTCCACAATGAGAGCAACAGAACCAGAAAATTTGAACACAGGGGTCTTTCCAGAGACTCATACTCCAACCAAGTACCACACATGGAGATAACCTAGAACCCCTGCACAGATGTAGCCCATGGCAGTTCAGTGTCCAAGTGGGTTCCATAGTAACGGGAAGAGGGACTGCCTCTGACATAATCTGATTGGCCTGCTCTTTGATCACCTCCCCCTGAGGGGGGAACAGTCTTACCAGGCCACAGAAGAAGACAATGCAGCCACTCCTGATGAGATCTGATAGACACATTCTTTTTTTTTTTTTAAGTGTGTGTGTGTCTGTTTGCATGCAGATACCACAGCAAGCCTGTGGAGGTCCAAGGACAAGTTGCAAGAGTCAGTTTTCTCCTTCCACCGTATGGCTCCTAGATTTCATGTCAGGTGGCCAGCCTTCCCAGGAAGCACCTTTCTTTACCAGGTGAGCTATCTAGCCGCCTGAGTTCTTAACCAGACCTGTACTAGTCCTGTGAGTGGAGCAGAAGGTCTTTTAGCCAAATTTTAGTAGATCTTGTTTTGTGCTTTTAAGTTATTTTGTGTCATATACAAATGATCATACATGATTATAATATGGCATTATAATATATAATTATTTATATAGTAATATAGTAATATGTGGTGATGTTTAAATTTTATCTGAAGTTTTAGCTGACTCTGAGGTTTTAACAAAGACGATTTTCCTTTAAAATACAATTTTAAGTTACTTAAAATTTTAGGTATGATTTTTATTCAGTTGCTCTCAATTCCTAAGTGAAATTCCTAAGAATACAGGATAAAGTAACACTAATTTCTGTACTTTTTACTTTTGCATTGCTGTATATGTCAGACTTTGTCTCCAGGCTTCAGAGGATGGGTGTTGTCTGTGGCAATGCTCTGGTGAGATGACTGTTCCCAAGTGACAGACCATGGAACCACCTGTGACCAGGTGCAGGGATTGCCCTCATAGGCCTGCCCCGTAACCTCCTAGCAGTGCTGCAGGCTGAGACCTGAGCCCTCAGCAGGAGCCTCTCAGGAGCATTCAGAGGCTGACCTTAAGTATTATGCTGTTGTATTTACTAGAGTATATTGTAAACACTATAACTTTGTAGTGTTTTGTTGTTATTGTCTGTTTGCTTGTTTAGTTTTGTTTTTTTGAGTCAAGATCTTGAGCTTGATACATATAGTCCAGGCTTGTTCTCCCAACCCCACCAGCCTCCTCAGTGCTGGATGATGATGATGATGATGATGATGATGATGATGATGATGATGATTATGCTTTGAAATGAAGTATTGTAATGCATCCAGTTTTGCTCTTTGGTTGGGTGTTTTAAGACAGTGTTTCTCCCATGAAGTCCTGGCTGCCTTAGAACTCACTTTGTAGACCAGGCCTTGAATTCAGATATCTAACTGCCTCTTCCTTCTGAGGACTTTGTTCTATTTTCCTTGGAATTTCTGCTGATTTGTTTTTGTTTGTCTGTTTGTTTGTTTGTGGTCCCTGTGGATTTAGAGTTGAGTTTTTAATGGCATCAATGTAGTAGAAGGCAGGAAGCATTACAGAGAAATACAGGTGGCTAAATTAGAACCTGCAGGGCCCTGTCTAATGCTAATGTGCTAATCCACTAAAATCCAGTGCATCCATTTCCTGGACAGAATGGGGAGAATATGCAAGATAAATGAGACTGGAGGCCAAGGGCCACATGGTCTCTGGTTTTAGCATATGATTTAATAAAATTTCTCTCCTTAAAGTAGGAGGCACAGGAGAGAAGCACAGACAGACACACCCATCCTTAGGAAGAGCAGCTGCCACTCCCACCCCCATGGTTCTCAGCAGCCAAAACAGTAGCACAGGAGCTTGGCAAACTTTTCTAGAGGGACAGAAAGGTTCATCTTAAAGGTTGGAAGAACCTTTAGAGGTAGTGAGGTTTTCCACTTAAGTTGATGTGTGTGTGTGTCTGCCTGACTGCGTGCCCATGTGTGTGTGTGCACGTGCTGTGTGTGCTTATATCTGAGAACAATAAGACATACACACACAAATGATATACTGACCTTGCTCATTTGCAAGCTGGGCATGGTGTCCCATACCTTTAATCCCAGGGCCTGGAAGAAGAAGCAGGGGAATTTCTGAATTTGAGGCCAGCCTGCCCTGTATAGCAAGTTTCAGGCCAGCCAGAGGTACATAGTGAGGCCTTGTCTCAAAACCAACAGATAAACAAATAAACAAACAACAACAAATAAAAGCCTTTTCTGTCTTGAAGTATGTGGGTTGTGACAGAGTGGTTGTAATCCACTCTTCAAGTGGGATTAAAACATCCTCTCTCATTTCCACCGCAGTGCTCCCAATACACAAGGAATCTGAGCTTATACTAGCTATAGGAAATGGATTTTTTAAAATTTATTTTTATTTTGTGTTCATTGTTGCTTTGCCTGCATGTACGTCTGTGTGAGGGTGTCAGATGCCGTGGAACTGGAGTTATAGACAGTTGTGAGCTGCCATGTGGGTGCTGGGAATTGAACCCTGGTCCTCTGGAAAAGCAGCTAGTGCTCTTAACCACTGAGCTGTCTCTCCAGCCCCAAGGAAATGTTTTTATGCTTTCCAGACATTTTTAGAATTTTTTTTGTCTTCAAATTCAAATCATGTATGGAGGAAAAGAGACCTTTTTTCCTGTAGGATTGTGTTAGAATTAATTTTATCAAAGGCTGATGTGGCATGAACCACTCTAGAATGTGCCAACCTGCCCTGCTACTTCCTGAGTATGACTGGAAAAAAACCATTTATATCTTTATAAATTTATATCTTTCTTACATTATTTCACTTCCAGTGACCCAAATGTAGAGTTTTGAAGCCCTTGTTTGGGCCATAGGTTCTGGCATTATTCACATCACTATAAAATCTATACGTTCTTTTCATGAAAAAGAATTTGTATTAATTATTTTATTTTTTTAAGATTGATTTTTATGAAGCCAGGTGTGTTGGGACACACCTTTAATCCCATCATTTGGGAGGCAGAGGCAAGTGGATCTCTAAGTTCAGGGCCAGCCTAAACTATAGAGTGAATCCAGGACAAGCTGGGAGTACACAGAGAAACCCTGTCTCAAAAAAACAAAAAAGTTTCTTTTTCCTTATGTGTGTGTGCGTGGGTGTACACTGGGTGTGCGGATGGCGATGCAGGCCAGGAGGGTGTGTGAGGTCCAAGCTGAGGTCGTATATAGGTTGTGCACCTCCTCGTGTGGCTGCTGGGCGATGAGCAGAATAAAGCGCATATTTTGAGGTGGGGGGTGTGTGAGTGTCCCTCTCTGGTCCCGTATGACTTTCCATGTCTGACGCTGAGAACAGGAAGATTTTCCCAGTGCAGGCAGACTCCCAGGTCACGAACTCTCTTTCAGTCTGGCGGCCGCTCGGGCGTCCATGCTGCCCCTGGAGGGTGTAAAGCAGCACCTTCGTCGTCCCGTGTGGATGAATGCTGATGTTCTTCCCGGGCCACAGGGGAGCGGCCAGGTAGTGGATGCCAGAGCCTTTGTAGACACTGTGACATCCTTCTTTCCAGATGTGACTTTCTCCTTGGGTTGGACAACAGGATGGCATCCTGAAAAAGTCAACGAAGGTAATAATTCTAATCATGTGTTTACCATTGATTAAAATATCCTGCAGTTATAACAGCAGCACCGTTAACACAGAGCTAAAAAATCATCCCGCGTGGTTTAAGCTCGAAAGGGAAGACCCAGCGCTGTGGGCATGTGTCCTTCTTGGTGTTAGTCCTCACAGCCCCGATGACGTCTGTGTGCAGCTTCCATGGCGAACACTTCTGTGCAAGGTGTGCAAGCAAAGTTGTCTCTTTACCAGCTTTGAGTGCATCCCAAGTGTGTCTTTGCAAAGGTGTGAAATATTCTGGACTTATTTTTCTGTAGGGTATAGAGCAAACTCACATGTCAGCTGAAGCACATATGAGCTTCTCAGGCACAAAGAGGCCAGAAGAATGAGTGTGGCTGAAAACACAACACTGTCCCTAACGTTTCATTGTTGTGGGTGGTGTCTTAGGATTTTATTGCTGTGAAGAGACACCATGACCACAGCAACTCTTATAAAGGACAACATTTAATTGGGGATGGCTTACAATTCAGATAACTCCATTATCGTCATGGCAGGAAGCATGGCATGCAGACATACATGGTGTTGGAGAAGGAGCTGAGAGTTCTACATTTTGATCTGCATTCAGCAGAAGGAGACTGTATGCCACACTGGACATAGCTTCAGCATAGGAGACCTCAAAGCCCGCCCCACAGTGACGCACTTCCTCTGCACATCTTCTCCAACAAGGCACCTTCCTTGTGCTATCCCCTATGTGCCAAGCTTTCAAACACATGAGTCTGGGAAGACCATTCCTATTCAAACCACCACAGGTGGCTTAATGATGGAGTACTTGCTTGGCATGCCCAAGACCTTCAGCTCCACCCAGAACCATTGAAAGTAATCTCCCTTGTGCTGTGATGCTTTGACTCATGCTCAACTCAATCGAAAGTTGTAGAGCTTTCTAGGATCATCTGTAAGTTGCTGACAGAGTTGTCTTTTCCTGGGTAATTTGGGTTTTTAGTTAATTGACTTCCAAGATCCAATCAGAAACTTTAGTTCCTTTCTTCTCACTCCAGGCTACAGTTGGTCAATGGTGAAAGAGATGGACTACATATGCAGTGGACTAACCCAGCCTGTCACGTTCCCTGTCAGGGCAGCTTTAGTCAGGCAATCTTGCTCTCAGTTGCTCTGGCTATTGAAGAAATCAAACAGGTATGAATTATCACCATGTCAGTATAAGGTGTGCATGTGTGGACACTACAGAGTGAAGGGGTGGGAAATTTTCCAGGCTATGACTGCAGTCCCAGCCCGAGGAATGAGGGCAGAGGGATTAGGAATTCAAGATCATTCTCAGCTACAAAGGGACTTGAAGTCTAGCCCGGGCTACATGGGACTCTGTCCAAAGAAGAAAAAAGGGTCTGGAAAGGACAGTGTGTGAAAGGGAGAAGGAATGAAAACTGGCTGGTCAGCAGACAGACTGCCTTCTTCACGAACTGGAGAGCATGGCTCTCCCCCTCCCCACAGTCTGCGCGCAGTCATCCTGACTGATGATGTCATCTTTCAGTTAGTAGAAAAGGTAGTTTATCTGTGAATGCTACCATGACAGAAGTATGTTTCATACAAAATTTTAATTTTTTGATGTACAATGGAAGGTTAGCAATGGGGCTAGCAAGATGGCTGATCAAGTACACGTTTGCCATGAAAGCCTGGTGACCTGGGAACCGTGGAGATGTGGAGAGAGAACAGACTCTACAGTGTTGTTCTCTGATCTCTATACACACGCCGTGGCACATGCATGCATGTTTACAGCAGCACACACACACACACAAAATAACAGTAATAGTAGTAGTAATAGTAATAATATAAAAACACATTTTGGGGACTGGAGAGGTGGCACAGTGGCTAAGAGCATGTGCTGCTCTTGCAGAAGACCTGGGTTCAGTTCCCAGCACTCTGGCGGGTGACTTTGAGCTGCCTGGTGCCTGAGCTAAGGGATCGCACCTCCAGAGGCACATGCACTCACCTGCACATGCTTGTTTACAAACATACATACACACACTTAAAAATAAAATCTTAAAAAATAATAAATTTGATTTAGCTGAGCCACATATGAAATATTGAAGTGTACTCTAAAGGTACAGATATTTTAAAAGTTTGGGGACCACTTTTGTGGGCTAGTAGAAAGCCCAGAAGTGTCAGAACTCCGAGTGGGTGTAAGCTGGCATTGCATCTATCAAAGCAAAGGTTTGATGACTGTGTAGAAGCAGCTAACTACTGAGAAACTACTGAGAAAAAGCTGCACTCACAGCTTTCCTTGGGCTTTTTGCCAAGTATATCCTCATTCAGTTAACGTTTGAATATCAACTTGTCAATGCATGCAGGCTAGGGTAGCTTTTTAGAAAAGGTTTATTTCATGTGTATGAGCGCTTGTATGTTGTAGTGCATTTGTGCCCGGTGCCCACAGAGGTCAGAAGAGGGCCTCAATTCCAGATATTCTGGAATTGGAGTTACAGATGGTTGTGAGCCACTCTGTGGGTCCTGGGAATTGAACCTGTGTCCTCTGCAAGAACAGCAAGTGTTCTTAACCACGGAGCCCTGTCTCCAGCTTCAGAATGGAAGACTTTTCTTGGTATTAAAGGCACCACTTCCAGAAGCCATGAAAGAAAGTTTTGCTACATTTGAATACATAAAAATCAGAAATCCTGGTAAAAATAATATGATGATGCTTGTCAGAGAGATATAAAGAATTGTAACACATTGAATTGATTAATAATAAAAAAGAATCCCAACACATAAAAAAATTTACGACCATCTAGCAAAAGGCCCAGCTTAATAATTTGCCAAGCTGGAGAGTAGAGGAAGCAGACATGTTGTACGTCGTAGATAAACTGATTGATTTCCTTAAAGAAAATTTTGGCGTGTTTGTGGATTTTTATCAGTAAGGACTTACCTACCTAGGAGAAGTTCATGTAAGCACAGAGAGCATACTAGCAGAGTTTCAAAATATCGCTTGTAACTATAAAGGACCCTGGTACCCCGGTCAGAAGCTGGCTGAGAATATTCCGTGCTACTTCTCAGTGTTTTACCACCTCTCGTTTTTCCATGTGTGTATGGCATGCCAGCCCTTTCATGTGTGTCTCCATTCTGATTCTGGGTTGATCTGCATTACTTTCCTTCTAAGTTTTAGGTATGAGCATTCTGTGCATTTCATAAACTGTCCTGTGCTTTCTTATGTATTCAGAGATATCGAAAATAATCCTAAAATGGCCTGCACGTGAAACCCTCTAAACCTGGGGCTTTAGGGAAGGCTGAACTTGAATGACATTTCCATTAACTAGTTAGTGAATGGTTTGTTTCTGTTTCAATGGCTTTAGAAGCCAAGTTTCATAAATTATATTTCCTTAGAAAATGGTTTATTCTGTCCATGTTTTAAAAAATTATTTAGATACAGCTGACTGAAATATTCTAGTATTCTCTTAGTTTCTTACAAGTCTTCAGTTCCTTGATGTATCTGAGATTTTTCCACTAATTTCTTGACTACACTGATAATTTTTATGTGTGGTGCACACGTGCATACATCTTCATATGTGTACACAGGTGTAAGCAGATGCAAACACAGGCCAGAGAGTTGACGTCAGGTGTCGTCCTCAGTCACTCTCCACCATATTTTCTGAGAGAAGCTCTCTCATTGAAGCTGGTGCTCACAGATGGGCTGGGCTGGCTAGCCAACCTGCCTGGGGATTGCTCTCTCCCTTTCTCCCCAACTGCCCGTGCTGAGGTTGCTGATGTGCTCTTAGGCCATCACACCCTTCTCCCTGAGTGCTGGGCACCCTACCCAGGTCTTTGTGCTTGTTCAGGAAAGTTTACCCACTGGGCCATCTCCACGTTCCTAGACTACATGATAAATCTGTAAGATCTTGGATTGGATTTATATTCCTTGTGTATGACTTAGTAATTCCTTCCTTTTCTTCCTGAACACATAGTTGCTGTTTTGTTTTGTGGTGTTGTTGTTTTTTTTTTCCATTGCTCCTGTTGGATGCTTACACTGCTGGTTTTTACCTTTACATCTGTTCAGGTAACTCTCGAATTACTTATACTAATATAGGTGTTGAATACTGTTCTCTTTCTCAGCCCTGTGCCTGAAATGTATCCTGTTGGTCTTCCGGAGCTTCTGGCATTGCTGATTTGAACTATTCTGCAGCTGTTGCTTTTTCTTTTTTTAATCTCAGACATTATTTGGAAAAAAAAAAAAAGTTAGCCATCTCAGTAGTAGCTTCTATAAGTCTCTCTCTAATATTTTCTGCTTTTATTGTCGTGTAAACAGATAACATCACATTTCCTACTTTGTGGGTTTTTAATTGAAGAGTATTTGATGATGATAAATCTGTTGTCCTATTTCTAGGTGGCCTGTTCTCTTTTGTGAGTCTTTGTATCTATTTTTATGGATTACCATGTGGTTTTGATTACTGTGGTTTTGTAATTTGACTTTAAATCAGAATGTGATACTTCCAATATTCTTGCTCAAGAGTCTTTTGACATTCAAAGCTTCTATGGTTCCATATAAACTTTAGGATCAATTTATTTCTATAAAAATACTGTAGGTACTATGTTGGCTTGAGTGAGAATTGTCCCTCAGAGGCCCAGGTATTTGCACACTTGGTCCCTGGTTGTGGGGCTATTTTAGGAAGGTTTCGGTGCTGCAGCCTTGCTAGCAGTGTGTCCATGAGGCAGGCACTGAGGCTAGAGAGGCCCACCAGTTACTGGTCTCTGCTTCCTGCTTAAGGCCGAGATGTAATCTCTCAGCTCTCTAGTCCTGTCACTGTGCCTGCTGCTCACTCTGTCCCTCTGCTATTCTAAGCCAACATAAACACACTTTCCATGAATGCTTCTGGCCTGGTGATACTTTACTTATTAGAATAGTTCTCAGCTCTATTTTCCTGCACATGCTGGGATTTGGTTTTATTTATGATTGAATAAACCTCCACTGTGCATATGTACCACGTTTTCTTAGCCATCGATTGGTGGAAGCTTGGGATGGCTCCACTCCTCACTATTGTAAATGGTGTGGCAGTAGGCGTGGACCTACAAGGATCTGTCTGATAGGCCGTGTGATCATTTGGGTGTATGTCCAGGAGGGCCGTAGATAGGTCTACAGTAGTTTTATCTTCAGTATTTTGAGCCACCTCCACACCAGTTTCCTTAGTGTCTGCAGTTTCACGTTCCCGCCAATGTTTTCTTTTTCTACATCCTCTCCAGAAGTTGTTATTGGAACCTCGAAATTTTTATTTTCATTTCTTTGTTGGCTAAAGATTTTGGAGAATTTTAAAAATATTATTGTCTGTATTTTTTTGAGAAATTTCTATTTAATTCATTAGCTCGTTTATTGATTGTAAGATTTGGGTTTAGATGTTTAATTTGTGCAGTTCCTTCCATATTCTAAACGTTAGCTCCAAAGTACCGCTGGCACAGACTCCCTCTGTTCTGTAAGCTCTGTGCTCACTCTGCTGTGCTGTCTTTACTGTGGGGGAACTTTCTAATTTCATGTCACTTCGTGGTCAGTTCTTGGCGTTATTTCCCGTGCTGTTGGAGCTCTTTTTAGGAGGTCCTTGCCTACCCCTGTATTCCCTGTGTTTTCCTCTGGCAGATTCAGAGGCGGCTTTCCCATTAGTACCACCTTGGCTGTAGCTCGGCATTCCAGTGAGTTGTGTTGCTGGTTTCATTTGATCCTGAGAATGTTTTAAATTCCTGTCTGCTTTATTCAGTGGCTCACTGTTCATTCAAAAGAGTATTCTTCAGGTATTGTGAATGTTGGTAGAGTGCTTGCCTATTATACAAAAGTCATGCCTTTGTCTCCTAGAAACGAGTAAGTAACAAAAACGCATCATTCAGTCTGAAAGTTGGCTTAGTTTCTGTGGTTTCTCTCGCTGTTGATTTATAGTTTTGGTTCAATAGAGTAGGCTACATTATTAGGAAGTATTTCAATTTTATTAAGGATGGCTTTGTGGCCTGTAACTTGATTTTAGAGAAGATTTCATCTATCGCCAAGAAGTTTTTGTTCCCTGTTAGTCAGTTGAGATACTGTATTGTGCAGCTATCTCTTGATTTGTGGCATAATTTAGTTCTGGCGCTTCTTGGCTAATTTTTTTGGGGGGGTCTGGAGCACCTACCGAATGATAAGAATGGGGTACCAATGTCCCCACTATTGCAATCAGGACCTATCTGTCCTTTCATGTCCTTTAATGTTTGTTGGATAAAGCGGAGAGTCCTAAAATTGAGTGCATGAATGCGTCTAATTGTTTTCTGCCTTCTCTATGGGTTCTTTTCTGAACCTTCAGAAGGCTTCTCCGTCTCCTCTAATGAGGTTAGGTCTCCATGGGCAGCTAGGGCTGGAGACCCTTCAGCACTGTTGCAGGTACATGTCTTCCTCTTGTACTCACTGACTGCCACAGTCTGGGCCTTCTTTTAGCAGCAGGTGAGGCTGGGAAATGTGGCTCTTGTTTGTATAACTTTGTGTAGAAAGAATGAAGAGGTTTGTTATATAAGAGAAAAAAAAAGGATAATTGAATGAAGCCACCAGCATCTGCCACAGTCTCGTATACTGTTTAGCTCCTGCCTTTTCATTTTCCCTTGAGTGACTTTAAATTTAATTTCCCAATCATTAATGCATGAGTTCAAAAACCAAATAGGACCAAAGAGTTGCTGTGAAAGCCTCCCTCTGCCTATGCAGTCCTCCCTAATCACAGTCATTAGTATCTCGTTAACCAGCTACCAGCTTCTTCATGTATATATGTGTTGTTATAAAAAACAAAACAAAATCCCAAATCTTTCAATTTTACCAATGAAGACTCAGGAGCCAGAGGCTGGGGTGAAAGTCTATTAGCTCAGAGAGGCAGAGAAAGCACCCAGCTACTCAGCCCAGGTCCCAGGAGGAAGAGGCCTGCTAGTTTACCCTACAACTCAGGAGGGAAAAGGCAGTTAGCTAAAAACCAAAGAGCCAAAGACTCAAAGCCAGGAAAGTGAAGAGCTCTTTCTTCTCCACGCTGTCTTAAATTCTTTTCTCTCAAAGTCCATCCTTAATGCTTAATATCTCTCAGCTGATTTCTTGCTCTAGCTCTTGATCTAGGGTTAACTTTTTGTACAAAAAGTTCTTGGATTAAAGGGATGTGCTAGGGCTGACCCAGACCATAATCACCTGTTTACAATAAATAGGAAGTTCTTGGATTAAAGATGTGTGTTAGGGATCAACCACACCAAACAAAAGACACCAGGGTTCAAAATGGGATCAAATATCCTGCCACAAATATGAGTGAAGATAAATACATCTTTTTCTTTTTTCATCTTTTCAAATGAAGGCATCTGTTTTTACATGCATTGCTTCCTGAGTAAGAACACAGGAACAGGTGAGAGGAGAGGGCTTCAAGGACAGGCCGTGATAAAGCCAGGCTACACAGATACCCCAGTTGGCTGGCCACCCACAGTTTCTTGCCGTGTGTTTTGGTTACACTGACATTCACTGTATAATAATTAGTTAACAAATCTACATTTGTGATTTATATACCATCTGTGAATTTTCACAATAAAAATGTTTTAAAAAATATATCCTGAGAATATTATTTAAATGAATGTAATTTAAAATTTAAAATCATATTTTATTTCATTTCAGTTTTAATAAAACGGAGAGCTATTTAATGGGGTGGAACTGACCTGGAAAGTTCTCTTCTTAACCTAAATTATCATATCTGTGTCTTGTTATAAGGTCCATTACCATGGTACCCAGATAAAATAATAGATTTCATCTGAGAAAAAACAAATAGCCAATGTCTACTTTCTTATTTCCTGTGACCTATACTGTACTTCAGAATTCTCTTGGGTATGAGGTGTCACCTCTGAGGACTAAGTCTGAAGTGTTTCTTTACTGTCACACCTGGTCAGGACAGGTAATAAATTCATGTTCCTCACTTACCTTGTGTCATCATTAGTAGCAGAAATGCTTCAGAGTCTCTCCTGGATCCCAACAAGTTTATGGGGGAAATAGGAATGTGACTACTGCAGTGTCGTGTTTCCCAGGCATGGTGCCTGATCAGTCACATCAATACAAAGGGATACGGAGCAGATAATGTCCAAATTCTAGTATGTTCATGCATATGTAAAAGTTTGCATATACTCTTATTTTAAACTTCATTGTTCTTCCTTTTTCCCTTTGTTCATGTATTTTATGTGTGGTGAGAGGACGACTTGCAGGAGCTGGTTCTCTCCCTCCACCCTGGGCTCTCCAGGACTGAGCTCAGGTCACTGGGCTTGGCCGGCAATGGGTGCTTTTTCCCAGTGAGCCCTGTCACCAACCCGTTTGCACTTGTTTATGACATCTCTTGGCATTTATATGGCAGTAGCGGGATCTGTTTTGCCTCTGGTCTTTTTGATGTTGATTAGGGACCAAAGCAGGGCAGTGGGGTTAGACCATTCAATAGGCTTTGGGGAAGTTTTCGTCGCTTTCTTATCTTTTACTTTTACCTCTATGCTTCTGTTTTAATACAGGTACAGCCTGACTGTTTGGACTGGAAAAGATGACATTTATTCCACTGAAGATTTACTTTACATTAGAGACTACTTTAATAAAACTCAAGTTTTCTATGATGTTTTGGAACCACAAAGCCATGAATTTAAACGAGCCATTGGAATCCAAGCCACTCTTTAAGAATACAGTTCTTAAAAAAAAAAAAAAAAAAAAAAAAATTCAGTTTTCCTAAATAGTTTTTACTTTGGCTTTGGTTTCATGATCCTTCTCTGCTTTGGTCTGAGTTGGCAGCTGTGTTAATGGGATTATTGCTGTGTTACACGTGTCCAGTCAGGAGTGCCTGTGTGCACGTGCTTTGACTTTACTGTCTATGGTGGCACACATCTGTAAAAGACTTTTGACAACCGAAATGAAGGTGTTTTCAGATGGAAGGAAAAATGTTCAATCTGGGTGTGGTGGCATGTGCTTATAACCCTAAGATTTGCAGGACTGAAACAGGAAGATCAAGAGTTCGAGGCCAGCCTGAAGTACATTGTGAAACCCTGTCTCAAAAGCAAATTGTTCTATAACTTGTCTATAATCATCATACATTAATTTTGTAAAAGAAATAAAAAGACTTGAATTAATAAATGAACTACTTTTCTTCTTATCTCACTCTTAGCAGTTTTCTACATATATATGTGTATATATGTATGGATGCATTTATTTGTTCGATTGTTTCTTCTGTGTCTATGTATGTGAGTGTGCCACATGGTGAGTGTGCAGAGGTCAGGAAGATTTGGAGGAGGAGGTTCTCTCCTCCCACCATGTGCATCCTGGAGATGAAACTCAAGTTTCGTAGGCTTGGCAGCAGGCACTTTTACTGCTGATCCATCTTTCTGGCTTAACAGTCTTAAAACAATAGTATGTAATGATAAGTGACATTCAAGAATCTGCCACATACACTGAGATATAAAGGAACTTAAGCTTTCTGAGAAGCCAAAGTACTGAAAGAGAATTGGGAAGTTTATTCTGCTGCAAAGTATATTCTAAATGGTTACTTGTGTGAGAAAATAACCATGCTCAGAATTCACACAAGTGACTGAAGAACAACTTTGGCCTGAACATAAAAGCTGAGTTTAGTAGGCATTTGGCAGTGAGTATAAAGATTTCATGACTCGTGAGGAGGGCAGGAAGCACTAACTCTAAAAGAAAGTACAGATAAATGGACTTCAGCAAACTTTTCATCAAAAGATACCACCGAGATAGCTCAGTAGTTGAGAGCTCTGGCTACTTTCCATTCCCAGCATGGAACATGGTAGCTGACAACCATCTGAAACTCCAGATATACAGGACCTGATGCCCTCTTCTGGCCTCCTTAGGTACTGCACCCGTACACAGATACACATGCGACAAAACACCCATACACAGGAAATTACAATAAAGCCTTTTAAAAAAAGAGACACCATTGAGCACAAAGAACTGCTATTTTATGCAAATAGCTCCTATAAACTGGTAAAAAGCCAAAAGCCTGAATTTAAAAGGAGAAAAAAACCCAACAGATCTATCACAAAATAAAATATCCATATGCCCAAAGCAAGTTTTTCTGAAAAGGTTCTGAATGGAATCCCCACTCGTCCAGGAAAGGCCATTGAAGCCACAGTGAGCTGTGAGTGCTTATGTTGTATGCACACAGCATAGGCAGAAAGGCCAGCACTATAAGGACGAGCAGTTTGCAGGGGGAAAAGCAAGCATGCTAGCGGCTTCCAAGAAAGATAATATCTCTGCCCTAGGAGTCAGCCATTCTATCCATAAGCACGGAGTCAAGGGAGTTCCTATGCTCACAGAAAAGGTTGTGGTAGAATGTTGGTAGCAGTTATGTCCTGAGCTTCTAATTAGAACACATTTCCATCTGCAACAGAACTGCTGAATAGAATGATCTTACTACACAGTACTAAAAAGGTTTGAAGCCCTTATTCACAGAGTCAGAATATAGTAAACAGCGCAGAAGGATGGGGGACAGCTGAGCACAAGTTCCACGGGTTCATTTGCACAAAGTCCAAGGGCACCAAAACTGCTGTATGGCAGCAGAGGTGGAGTGATGGCTGCTTGTGCTAGAGCATTGGGTGGGCAGTGAGGTGATTTGGGAAGGGATGAAAATGTCCGTAGCTGCGCCAGCAGGCATATTGGGGGAGGTATGGGAAGGAATACTGAGAGGCGCACTTTATTGTGTTGTAACTTAAATATATCAATCTTTGATAGAATTTTCACACTCCTTGATACAAAAATGCGTAGGATGCTAACAGACACTGAAAAGCCAGAGCTTTTAGCTTTTGCTAATGTGGAAAGATGTGGGTTGCAAGACAGCGTTATGGGATAGAATTCTGTGCAAAGCTGTATATACTCACACAGAAGAATTTTGTAAAGTTCAAACACAAAATACTTGACTTTTCTATGTTCCCAAGCCTAAGGCATTGGTGCTGTCATCCCATAACACTGAGCTCTGCCTCTCATGACTCCTAAGACCCTTCTACCTCAAAAGAGACATTCATGAGAGCGTTGACTGTTCCAAAATGCAGAACCTTTCAAGTGTACAGTTGCTGTGGTCCTGTGAGGGGGAGGTATGCTCATTAGCTATTCTGTGTTGTTTTTCCAGTGGGAAATTATTAAGAGTAATTTGGAAGTTTGTTGACTTGCTTGGTGTTGGGATCCGGGCAGCGGGACCCATAAAGTCACACTATGTGACAGATGTCGTGTGGGAGGTTTTTTAAGGGAGGAGATGCAGGCGTGGCCTCTGGTTGAGGCTCAAGGGGAAGAGAATGGCGAGAAGGGAACAGGCCCTTTTGTAAAGGGATATAGCATGTGTGCAGGGGAGGACACGCAGCTCCTGGTGTCCTCCTGGGAATGTGTCACATCTCAACTATCCTGCTGTTGCTAAGTGCCTGGAGCTGGTCATGGAGGTGACCGATTGCTAACATTCCTCCCTTTTATTTATTATAAAAGAGGAGGAACTAGGAGGAGGTGATGGTGAGCAGGATTCAGGACGTCGTTGCTGCTCTCAGCTTGCTTCCTGCTGTCTAAGGGCATTGTCACTTTTGGAGTACAGTTGATCTTTACCATGGTGGCACACTTGGTAATCGTTAGCCTCAGGCTCTGTGGCCATTGGTTGCTACTCTTGTAAAAGCAACTGATTGTTTGATTAGAATTTTTCTTTTAAATGTAGAGAAGAAATTGATAAACCAGGGTGTGAATAGAAGAATCAAGAAGATGAGAAGAAAACCAATTAGGAAAGGCAGTAAAAAGAAGTCCTTTTCCACAGGACTCCAAGTTCCATTCCCAGCATGGAACATGGTAGCTGACAACCATCTGAAACTCCAGATATACAGGACCTGATGCCCTCTTCTGGTCTCCTTAGGTACTGCACCTGCACACAGACATGCGGACAAAACACCCATACACAGGAAATTAAAATAAATCCTTTAAAAATGGGGTTTTCAAAGGCCCAGAGGTTGGAGGCATCGAATTATTCCTTACATTGGAGGGGGGGGGGTCACAGTGAAACATCTGCAGAATCTCAGCACACGGAGATCAGATGTCTGTTCCATTTCCTCTTCCCTGAGCCCCAGGAAACTTTATGGGCTTCTTCAAAAACCATGTGACAGTGATAGGCCAAACTGTGGTCCTAGGCAGAAGGCTAATGGGTATGAAGAAGGAAGAGAGATAATGACATACAAACTATAAGAGCAACATGAATGTGGCTGCTCTACTTCCAAGCCCTGACACAAGTCTTCTTGGGCCAGCAGACTCCATCAATCTCATTTTCTACAGAAAGAGTTTCAACACTGCTGCTTCTTTAACACTCAGCTATTCTTGCCTTTTTTCATGAACTTCAAAGCTCCTCAGAGGCAGGCTCACACCTAAAACAACAAGGAGAGAAATACAGCGCCTTTCTATGGATTCACAAGACTCTGATTACAGGGAGTAAAATGCCCAGAGAACTAAGAGACCAAGTGTTATGATACATGATTAGACTGTGCAGTGTGACCCTTCCCTCCCGTGTCAGGACTCCATCTAGGTTGTGAGGACCCCAGAGATCTGAGAGGAAAGCCTGAGATGCTGAGGGGCCTCCATTCTCCAGGGACCATAGCCCTTTTGTAAGCAGAGGAGTGTTAGGAAGGCGGGGAGAGCCTGGGGATTCTCCAAGAAGGAAGTTGAAGGCCCAAAGTAGGGTGATGGGAAAGGAGCTCAAGAAACAGAAGAAATGTTCATGGGGCTGCGATTCTGTAACTAGAGGAACATAGAGAAAGCTGGGTGAGTGACAGGGAGCCTGGCTGATGGGGGCAGGAAAAAAAGAACTCAGTGGAGCTTCATTTTTCAGAGAGGTATTGATGCTCCTTCACACCAGTTTGGAAAGAAAAATGAAAACCTCCACTAATTCTGGACCTACTTTCCACTCCCAAGAAAGACATTCTTTAAGTAACCGTGTTTTTCTAAGGACTACACCTCATCCCACCCCCACAGTGATTTTGACTCTACTCTATATTTAAATGGAGAGATCTGGTAACCCTGAAGACACCCCACACCCGCTGCCACCAGAAGCCCTAAGCCCTTTTGACTAGCCTGACTCCATGACAGGCTCTGTTTTTTTCACCTTGCTTAACTAGGTCTGAGTTTCTCTTTCTCAGAATTCAAATAAAGAATCCCTGGAAAAGCCATACACTGAAGACAACCAATCAGCTCACAGGTTAAGTTCACCAAAAGTTATGTTTATAGATACATGGCCTTGCTGTTCCCTAGGTAAAGCACAGCCGGCTCAAACCAATCAAATTAAAGGTCAGCACATGAGTAAAAGTCAGTCATCAATAAGTCAACAAATTCCCCAGTAAGTAGGGAAAATCCCTAAGCAATCAGCCAATCCAGAATCCCCTCATACCCTTGTGTCATTTCTGACCAATTAGTTTAGAGTTACCACACAAAGCCCCTAACTGTCTATCAATTTAGCCTATGAAATTACTTCTGGGTCTCTATTTTGCCCTAATGGTGATCCCAGCATGCTGGTAACTTTGCAAAATAAACACTCTCTGTTCTTGTGTACTTCCTGGTTCTGGGGTCTTTTCTCGATGATTCTCAGACCCTAATATTTGGGGACCCTAAAATCTGGGCATAACAAAATTATTTTATAATCTTAGACAATAAGACTTCCCACACAGCCCACAGTTATAGGAGGGAGGGAGAGGGAGAGCAGGGGATGTGGGTTGCTGGCCATTTTC